CTGAGATTTCGTCAGACACCAACCCATTAGGGCTGACCAGACTTCCAAGATAAGTGAAGTTGTCAACGCGTTCGACTACTTCACTCCCTATCCTTAGTTCAGGTGTTGACGCAGACCAGTTCTGAAGCAACAACTTGCATTTACAGGGAGAGAAGCGCATTCCAAACATTCTGGCATTGTTGCTTAGTGCTACCAAAAGACTCTGCATTTTGTCAGCGTCTTCACCAAACAGGACTATGTCATCTGCGTATTCTAAGTCGATAAGTGGACCTCCTGGATGGAGATCAATACCCGAGAATTCAGTCGACGAGAAAGTTATTTCCATCAGTAGATCTATGATGAAGTTAAACAAAAATGGGGAAAGTGGACAGCCTTGACGGACACCACTTGAGGTTGCAAAAGTAGATGACAGTTCGCCATAAGCTCTGACTTGACTAGTAGTGTTCGAGTAAAGAGCCTTCACAAGGTTTATGTACTTCTGTGGTACGCCTTTCAATGACAGACACTGCCACAGAATCTCGCGGTCTACCGAGTCAAATGCTGCTTTTAAGTCGAGAAAGACCACCATTGTCGGACGCCGATAAGTATGCCTGTGTTCTAGAATCTGACGAATGGTGAATATGTGGTCGATGCAGCCACGACCAGGTCTGAAGCCAGCTTGAGTCTCTCGTGTTTGCAGTTCACGAGTCTTAGTTAGGCGTCTGATAATTATTGAAGCTAGTATTTTAGATATTATATTAGTTAAACTAACCCCTCTGTGGTTGTCACAGGATGATTTTGACCCTTTCTTATATATTGGGACGATAAGTGATTGTGACCAGTCAGATGGTATAACGTCTAACTCCCAGATCCTAGCTAAAATATTAGTCAACCTAATCGCTAAAATTGGACCACCATCCTTAAAGACCTCTGGAGCCAGTCCATCTGGACCAGCTGCCCTTCCTCGTTTCAGATTAACTATAGCCTTTTGAACTTCTGCTAGAGTTGGGGGACCTACTTCAATGTTCCATTCAGGTCGTTTGGGAATGGAGGGTAGTTGTAGAGTAGCTGAAGGCCAGTTGAACTGTTCTCTGAAATGTTCCGCCCATCGTTCTAAACGTCTGGACTGGGAGCAGATGAGAGTATCGTCTTTTTCCGATATAATCTCACTTACACTTGACTTATTAATTCCAGTTTCTTTAATTAGTCTGTAAAGCTGTCTTGTGTTCCCTATAGTCACCGCCTTTTCCATCTCTTTTGCTTTCATTGCCCACCACTGCTCACGGTCGTTTCTTAGACTTTTTCTTAACCTAGATCTGATTTGTTGTCGCTCTTCATCATGTTCGGAACCTGATGGGACGAGTTTACGAGAATCCATCAGTGTGATAGACTTTGAAGAAATACACTGGTTCTTTGTAACCCTGTGGTTTAAATCACTAATAGATGTCACTGCTGTTTCCAGGGCTGTTTGTATAGCTTTCCAAGCAACATCTGGGTCAGCCTCGTTTTCAGAACTATTTAAGTGTGACCTCAGTTGTTCCTGGAACCTACTTTTGGTTTTCTCGCTACTCAACTCAGTTCTAATGGGTCTTTTTAATGTGGCTTTTTTGCGTCCAGTGAGGCGCAAGCAGATGCGTGCCCGTATTAGGGCGTGGTCGGAGTCCAAGCAGGTACTTCAGAATGAGCGACAATCTTCTACCAACCCTCTCCAACGATGACTGATGGCAATATGGTCTATTTGAGTCCATCGTTGGTTTGGTGTAGGGGGTCGCCATGTTAGACGATGTCTCTTCTTATGCTTAAAATTTGTGTTTGCTAAAAATAAGCGATTGTCTGAGCACAGTTGCAGCAGACGGTCACCATTATCTGTTCGCTGTGCGGGAATGCTAAAATATCCACCTAAATGCCTTTCTGTTTGGTCTAAGCTACCTATCTGAGCATTAAAGTCACCCCCTACGAGTACTATGTCTGAGCGTTTAGCTTTCTGAAGAAGTTCAGAAAGCTTTCTGTAAAATTCATCTTTCACATCATCTGAGCTGCAGTCAGTGGGAGCGTAGGCAGAAACGACGAAAAGGCAACGACGTGTATCCCTATCCTTCCGAGTTCTTACGGAGCCGTTTAACCGAACAGCACATAGACGACTGTTGACGGGGATCCACTCTAGCAGTGCTTGTTCCGCCCTCATGCTTAGTGCTATGCCTACACCTGCCAGTCCACGAGAACTGGCCATCGGGTCACCAGATACACGGAGGGTGTATCTCGTTGGCTGTACGTTTTGCCGAGGTGAGGTCAAGTGAATGACCACACTGGAGTCCTGTGTGCGTGTTTCGGAGACACAGCATACATCAATGGAAAGAGACTCTAGGGTTTTAGCCAAGGAAGCCTGCTGACCGATTTGACATAGGGTGCGTACGTTGAAGGCTCCAATGTGTAGTTTGGAGCGAGGTTTCAGTAGACCTGGGACAGTGTTTTGAGCACTAGAATCGTTGGCTATGGTGAAACTTGAGGAGGAAGCCGAAAGAGGAAGTTTAGAGTTGAAAGTCGATGTAGGAGGAATAATAGGAATTGAAGAGGAAGGTTGATTATGAATACAGTGATCTTGAGTGCTGCTAGAGGTATGAGGGCGGTTATCACTTCCCGGTTGCCCACACCGAGGAAGGGTTCTTCTGGAGGTACCTGAAAAGGAAATTGGATTAGAGGTGGTCTCAGTGACCTGAGAGCGTGACCGCAGTGCCCAAGGGACAACTGCTTGAGGCCGGTCGCGCACGGCCTTTTCGTGGGAGGTTTTTGACGTGTTAGCTCCGTTCTTCAAAGGGCCTTACCGCCGGAGACGGAAATCCGTGAGGTAAGGTGAGGTGCGCATTTTTAGGGTCGACCTTTTCTAACCCCACCCCTCCTTGTGGGAAGGCAGCATCGCTGTCATGCTGATTGTCTGAAGGAAACACCTTACTGCTGTCACACCTCTGTACAGTCAGCAGTACGACTTCGCCTTCGGACCTTGGGTTTGTTGCTTTTAGTCTTACCGCTCTTCAACCGACCTGTCTGACATGGTAGGACCTTGAGGAACGGTTGTTCCAGCCAGTATAGCTCGGTTGCTTCATCACGATAGGCAAACCCGACCACCACGTCAAGGTAGCAACAACGGTCGGGTAACACAACAGTGAAAATACTCTACACACTAATCTATGACTTAAAACACTATATGGTCAGTAATTTATTGAACAAATATCTTCAAATGTCTTTTTAAGTTGCAAAGATTCATAAAATCTTGACAACAGTGATGAATTATTATTTTTATTAGTGCGAAACGGTACAATGGGCAGAAAGAAAGCTTATTGTGAAAAATCACAAGGCATTTATATCATACTTATACATAGCCTTCTATCATCTATTTGCACTGAAGTCATCTAGTTATCGAGTGTTCTGCCTATGACTTACTTTCATGTACTAAAACTCTTCTCCCTGTCTGGCAACTAGGACAACTTCGACGCCGAATTCAACTAATCAGTACTTCTCAGCAGTGCGCATCCACGATCCCGCACCACGCGGGGCTCGAACCCAGGACCTACTGGCTTCGCGCGCGAGCACTTAACCATTAGACCACTGAGCCAGCGTCCAACGGTGTTAATGTCTAACTTCAACCAATCCACGAAGTTGCGCCACCATATTCCATTGTCTTTAGTGAGCTGATATCTCACAACAGACCTGGTTGTACTCCACTAGGACGAAACGGCCGTCCAGTGCTTCCAGGTTTTCAATGGTGGTCTAGCTTCAACTGACTCATGATTTCAATCTGTGAAAATTTCTAAAAATCTCCACAAAACCCTTCTGATAATTAGTACTTACAAGCAATTTTGTGAGTAACGTTCAAAATAGTAGTAGTAGTAGTAGTAGTAGTAGTAGTAATTCTTGTCAAATAAAAGTGAAATCATCTATTATAGCATGTGAAAATGTCCATTAATAGTCGAAATTATTTTCGGGATCCCGGTTATTGTATAATTTTCATTCCAAAGTGACTTACAAAAAAACTTTTTAAGTTCCTACACGTTGTACAGACAATCATAATAAGCCAATGTTTAACAAACGAAATGATTGTAAATAAAAAGAAACAAGATATACTCGTAGAGTTACAAAAGATTCAAGACTGAGTACACCTTAATTCCTGAAAGTAATGATAAGTTGTGTCAACGGTTTTCTCTAAGCATTTATAACCAACAATTCACAGTTGTCCAGTTCGTTATATGAAATACAATACGCATAGATGAACTCGGAGATTAGCGTCTGATCACTATCTAACGACTCTGAGGTTTTTCTACATTACTCCTGATCCACATTAAATGAGCTTGTTAGTTTAATAACAGGACAAAACATATATGTAAAAACCATTTCAATACAAGAAGTATTCATAATTTAACAAACAACTTAACAATAACACTTCCATTTCCTAAACTTACTTTTGTAATTGCCTAATAAACGTTTTAAGAAAAAAATAGACAATAAGTTACGGTCATTTTCATGTTATACATCTTTCACATTCTTGTTTCAAAAACATGTAGTGATAAAAAAAGGGGTTGTTGTTCTAAAAATTAGTGAAATAAATAAACAACATATAAAAGCAGCTATTTTCAACTTGTTTATTTTCATTAAAAAGGTTTTCGATATTAGTTTATATTAAAGGTGATTATCGTTAGTGATTTATTTTAGTCAGATCAAGTGAAAAGCTAATAAATTAGTATCACGGTCTGTGGAGATTGCTGAATTTTATAATTCACGAAATGATCTCAGGTGGCGACTCAATAGTCTAAAGGTTAAGTGCCAGCATGAGACCGAAAGTCCTGTGTTTGATACTTGGGTATATTTTGGATATGTACAGCTGATAAATTACATACTAGAGGGATAGAGCTATCCAATGTTCCTAGTTATTCAACGGTTGTCTGATTAAGGATAGTCAGTGACGTAAATCATAAAAATAAATAACTTATCGTCAATTTATTTATTCCTACTATCTTTATTTTACTCAGGTACCAACAACAATGGATGCGTTTATGTGTTATGGAGCAGTTGTACCTAATGGATACGGCGCTGCATACAATCCACATCCTGATAATATTGTTGTAGTCATTTCTTGCTGGCGTACCAATCCTAATAATAATGCATCGAAATTTGCAGAAATGCTTGATTCAGCATTTACAGAAATGCGTGAACTAGTCCTTTCAAATCCTCAATTGGCTAAACAACCATCAAATGAACCTGTTGAATGGAGTATAGCTAAATCACTTGGTGCTGATGTAGGTCTAAATGTGACTGGTTAACGAGGAAAAACATTGAAAGAGATAGAGAGAAAATTCAAAAAATTTATAGACCTATTTTTAGCGCCACTCGATATTTTTTCATTCACTAAAAAGAATTATATTTACATTGATTTTTTTCCTTTTTATGATTCTCTAGTAATTTTTTCGCTTGTGATTATAGTTTCCTGATTGTGTTGGGTTACTGATATAGAAAATGATTGTTAAAATCAAGATACCAAAATTTTATTTATTCATTACAACAAATTTTCAAAGCAGTTTTCTCTTATCCCATTTAATTTTATGGTAAGATAGCAAAAGATTTCCATTATTTATTACTTATTTACATAATTCATTCACATTCAATCACATATTTCTGTTAAGACGAAAAAATGGAACAAATACTTTTTCACAAATTTCAAAATCTAATTGATTCATAAGTATACTACTTATAAATTAGTAAGTAGGATAGAAGAGTAATACATCATTAACTTTATGTCCAAGCACATTAGGATAATAAATTAATAATCATGTTAGTGTACATTTCTGCAAGAGTATATATATATACTCTTTTTCTCTCGAAATTGCTCACAGTATTATTGAACTTTCAAATAAAATTTATACGTACTTTACATTTTTTTGTTCATTTTATACTACTAAATCTGCAAACATTTTGTCTATATTCATACATTAATCAACTATTATAATTATATAAAATCTAGTGGATACACAATGATACATTTAAACATGCAATCATTTGTTTATCAAATGAGATTTTAATTAATCTCAAAATCCCTTCAATCATGTATACCCCTCAGGTTGTGAAATGTACAAATTATATTCCAATAATCATACATGCATATATACATATATGTTGTATTAAAATTATTTATTTATAATATGACAATTCTAACTTGAAATAATAAATGAAAACCATACATATGTACTGTGATCATTTTATCATGGACTTATTTAATTTTGAATTTAAACTTCTATATTGAATTTGTTTTAATCAACAATGTCATCAGCCTGGATTAATTATACTTCAAAAAAAAACAATTGGTTTCTATATTTTGAACAAATTAGATTAGTAAATAATGAATTTGTATATCACCTTTTACTTAAAATATTATTATTATTATTATTATTATTATTATTATCATATTACTACTATGCATACATGATATATATCATACACATATATATTCATATGAAATACAACTTCTTGAATACATCCTCAGCAGTAATGAGAAAATCTTGTGTTTTTATTCTCATTTTTATTCGTTGAATCCTACTAAAGACCAAAGAATAATAACTGAAATCTGATCATCAGTAAAATAGATTTGATCATAAATAGTAAAATACGATACAAAAGTGATTGATAATTTGGATTCAATAGTAACTCAAAATCCTTAGTGATATCTATTAATCATTTGTATGTGGTGGTGATGATGATCATGACTATCAGCAACTTATTTGTTTTCTTAAATTGAAATAAGACAATGAAATACTTTGTGGTCTGGTGTGTGTATGATAATGAACCAAGTATGTCACTCTTATCCAATACGATAAGGATACGTAACATTTAGTAGCCACAATCAGATCAAAAATAATATATTTTTATTATAAGTAGAAAAACTGTATTTCTGACGTTTCGTGACTTGATGTACGTCAGTTACGTTACGTGTCACAATCGTCAGGATATCAGAAAATTGAAGCTATTTAATTACAAGTATCATACTCAAAAAATACCTAGGTTATTAACTAAACTTGTTCAACTAAACTTATAATTCATATCATTGACGAGCGATGTCAAAAATTAGTTCATCAAAACACAACTACTTCTTCAATATATTTGAAGTTAGTTATTGAAATTTTGAAATTGACTAAATTCAACTTGGTTAAGTTCGATATTAATGATGAACAATGTCGGTAATTTAACTGTTTCTTATATGATCATTCCACATCATTTACAAACTAGTTCAACTTGTGAATCATTAACAGTCAGTCAGTCAGCTACAATGTAGGACCAGCCACACATATGCGACGGTCCAAGTTGCCATACCTCATTAGCACAACAAGATGAACGCCGAATTCATAGTAGTTACTTCAATGGTAGTAATATATAAAAGAAGGATTGCACATAAGGATATGACACAGGGACAGAAAAATTAGTTCATAGAAAGGTACAAAGTAATTTTAGTCTCACGGTTTAAAGGAAGATAGACAGTACATACACCTACGTCATTGTGATAGATTCTGAGCCATGTCACCCAGAGTCCCCAACGATTGGTTACGAAACTGATAGATTTTAAAAGTAATTATAATAGCATTAATAACACCAATTACTATCATTTCGAGATGATTAGTTATTATTTTGCTGAGCAATCACTATAGCCATCTAACTTAACAAATTCTTAATAAAACAAGTGATATATGGCCTTCACAGTCATCGACTTGAGTCAAACCGTAATAGATAAAAACAAAGTTTGTATTAAACTAATGATAATTTGACAACTCCAACTAAGGGAAAATACTGATTGTAGAATAGTCATTTTTCAACAATGGTTATATTGTGACGATTTAAGATTATGAATGTAGCAAATAATGATAGAAATAGTTCGTAATGAATCTAAACACAAGATTAGTTTTGTAGATGTTGGATATCCTGTATGTTAACAATTTTTAAATATATATATATATATAGTAAGATCTATTTGGACTAGAATTTAGACATTATAAGATGGATAGTGGCCAGCAGTGGAATCCAGGACGCGCGTTTCGTCCTGTTTGGGACTCGTCAGCTGGATGTGCCTGCATCTCAGAGTTGATGTTCACTATAGGACTCGAACCCAGTACCGTTCGCTTTAAACGCTATCGCGTTATCTACTTAGCTACTGAGTCCTGATAGCCACTTGCTTGTACAATTTAGACACTTTCATTTTGATACTTTCAAATATCTTGGCAAGATGATATCCAATTTAAAAATTTTTTTACACCTTTACTCGGTGAAATTAGCATCCGATGCATTCAAAATTCAATTCGTCAGGCGATATATGAAGAAAATAGATTAGGTTTTAGAAGATAATCTATACTATTTCACTGTAAATTAAATTGATACGATTAAAAAAAGTATTGGTAAGACTATAATTTATGGAAAACCTTTAAGCGACACCAGACTGACTTAGTGTCCACCTAATAACCAGGACCAAATGAACGTTATAAACCTGTGTGAAGAATGACAATTATGATTTACAGTTGGTGATTAAGGTTAGAAATTAAATTTATGGTTTTCATCAAAAACTGACATCATTTATAATGCCAAAACTTTATTTATCCAAATGAATGAGTGAATTTCGTGCCAAAATCCGAGACTTGTTATCTTATACGTATATATATATATATATATATATATATATATATATATATATATATATATATATATATATATATATATATATATATATATATATATATACTTTAGTCAAATATAAAGATAATGTGTATAGACTTAATTGTGTAAACTAATTAAATGAATCTTGAAAATGAATTCAACACAACAATTTACATTAAATTCAAATTATAATACTAACATAAATGTTAACAACTATCCTTCAGAAATATAAGGCTGAGTTTAAAGATGGAATGAAATCTTACTATATTCAACTAATAAGTTATAAAAATAATCCTATTCAGGTATACATATCAACACTTTGATATTCTTTGCTAAATCAACTATGAATTCAATCAGTTATACATAAAAATAACAAGTTAAAACCAACCATACAAGATCTGTGCACCAGATATTCTGAAGATATACGTATCAATGACAGTAACCGTTGTATATTATGCAACTCATTTATTAAGTACGGACGGAATCTATCAGTGTTGTGAGATGGTAACTGGCACCCAATTTCATGGACTAGTTGAAGTTAGACATTAACGCCGGTGGATGCAGGCTCAGTGGTTAAGCGCTAGCGCGCGAGGCGGGGTCGTGGATGAGCGCTGCTCAGGAGTCCTACAACAGGACGAAACGACCGTCCAGCACTTCGACGTTTTCCATGGTGGTCTAGTTTAAAATGACTCATGATCTCAACTATTGAAATTACAGATTTTGGTATTTAACATTGAGCTACACTTTATGTTCAAAGAGTAGCGATAGTAATGGGTTACCCAAACTGAAATCAATGGGATGGAGTCCAAACTTGCATCCAATCGATTTAAACCTGACTGTTGTGTGTACTACGTCATCACTAAACGTTCTTCATTTTTTGGGTTATCTTAAACAGCGTGAAATCAGTCAGGACTGATAAAAACACTGTTTAACCATAAATAGAAAATAATCTCCTTCAAGAATCTTGAAAATGCATTCAACTGTTCGTTAAAAAATTAGCAACATGACAGATGATTGCTAGTTTTTTCATGAGTTAGAACGACGATTTATCAAAATAACCATATTTCGAAAATGACCAACACCGAAATAAATACTGTAGTTAGGGCTTAACTGATAATAAGTTGGAGGATAATTGAGAAACGGACTACCAACATGTTCACCTGTCCTAACTTTTTTTCGGTTTTTCAAGTTACATACTTAAGCTTCACATTTACTAGGAGTAACAGTTTCAAGCACCTTTTTTAGATGGTACCGAATAATTTTACGGTTATTGTGAGACCCTAAGATGTTAGTTTCTTACCCGCATAGGGTCACAGGCATGTGCTCCTGAGGAATTTATGATCGCTTTAATTGTCTAAATAGATATACATACGCCTAAGTTTCTGTATGTATCAGTTATGCTCTTCTAAATGCATTATCGTGATACCAGTAGAAAATATATTACGAAACGTTTAAAAATGGTGTGTTTTCCGGTGTTTTCTTAAGTTACTACTATAGATTCTCATTTTGAATAAGAATCAAAAGTATAAAATTTATTTGGTTGAATCTTCCCACTGATGTTTAGGAATCCAACTTATCAGTCCCTTTTGACACGTTTATCCTGTGCGGATTACCTCGATGTTGTCACTAAGTCACGAGCATTTTTAAGAAAGGATTCCACTGCCAGCCATCATCCATCTCCGCTTATAAAATTTGTGCTGAATAATGAATATCGAGATAATAATAAAGTCTAGCAAAATATGAAGAGATATTTACTCCACAAGTATTTCGTAAATTATAAGGCTTCTTATAAAGTTTGGATGTGAGGTTTTTGTTATTTCCGAACATACTATTAATCAATAACTAACCCATGAGATACTACATCAGATGAATCCATTCACTAAAACAGAAAGTTTCTGAATAACTAAGCTAATATATTCAGAGTTATAATTCAATCATTCCTATTATTCAACAATGCTAATTTCCTATTTTCCACATCAAAAAGTTTATTTATTCATATAATATACATAGTATAACCGTCAAAATTCCTACTTTCAGACAAATTTACCTGATCGATTTCAATAAACTTTCAATCACCATGTAAATTACTTAAATAATCCTTTGATTGTATCTACAGGAACATGGTGCACAACTACTCTCTTCCTGTAACACAGATATTAACAATGTAAGAACTGAAACACATTTGGGTCAGTTTCAATTGTCACGTTTTATATAGGCATGGCAAAGAATAAACAAGATGAAATGCAAAGTAGAAAACGCTGTTCAAAAAGAAAGAATAAATTAGATGGAAAGTTTTTCTCAAATACTAGGGCTAATATTTAGACGAAAAGAAAGAATAAATGAGCGTGCTACTGTGACTGATTTTGAACTATAATATCTCAAGTAATCAACAAAAATTTTGGGCATGTCACAAAACTCAACCAAAAACAGATAGTCCCCTCGACAAAACTCAGATCAAAAGCAACGGCTATAGTGACTAATAGTTAGACTATTTCGTTTAACTTAATCATTTTGCAACTTATGTGGTAGGTAACATACTAACAGCAATGTTTCAAAGATACATATAATCCGACACTTGCAATCTAGCCATCTCTAACCATCTTCTAAAACTGTAGGATAATTCAGTGCTAAATTTTGCGCAGTATATTTGTCTTTTGATATGCTACAAATGATAAGGAATCATGGAAAGCCGGATTGTTTCTTACCATCGCCAAGACTTCTTCAGATTGCTAACCATTTATGTTGAGATATTCAACAAACGTTGGATTTAATCATAAATTTACGAAACATAGTTATGCAGAAGCTTGAATGCAAATGAGAATACGATATTAGGTGATAAATCAATATAATTTCGAAGCAAGTCAACACTAGTTTCATGTAGATAATACCAAACAATAGTTCTTTTCCAATTAAATAGCTTTGTAGTTCACATATTACATTGACATGTACACATGTAGAAATTAATAAATACAGCAACATAGTATGCAGACAACTCTTTCGTAAGTTTTATATTATTCAAACGTACATTTGAAAAATCAACTGAATACTGAGTGTTTCGAAGTGATAGACACGAAGTAACCAGGTCGTCTTCATGGTTTTTCTGACTATCCGAATTTTCGATCCACAAACGCCCAGAAAGCATTAGAATTATACATATATATTTACAACAAGAAAACCTCCACAACATTCAATTTAATTCAAATCATAAACCGATCAATGTTAGACCATCACTGAAGACCTGGAAGCATTGAACCGCTGTTTCTTCCCAGTATGGGACTCTTCAAAAGTAGGCGTCTGCAGCCCCGTACGCGGGAATCGAGACTGAGGCCTTCGGCACCGCGCGCAAACGCTTAACCTCCGGGTTGTCAGTGGTGGCCTAACACACTGATCAATTCATGGTCTCAACGAAATTAAACAATCTCCAAAACCCTATGCTGGCAGTTTAAAGTTGATCACAGAATTTAAAAAATTCCTCACCATTTACAACTTAAAAACATCTAGTCCAATCAGAAAACTGAAACTCCCGTATAATCCGGCCATGTTATAATAAGAAAAGGAAAACAGAGAACAAACTCATTAATTCGAATAAACACTTCCAAGAAACTGGTATAGGGGTTGTGGAGATTATTAAGTTTTTGTAAACCTGGAAGCACTGGACGGCCGTTTCGTCCTATTGTGGGACTCCTCAGCAGTGCGCACCCACGACCCCGCGAGCGGGATTCGAACCCAGGGCCTTCGGTCTCGCGCGCGGAAGCTTAACCAACTTGACCACTGACCCGGCATCCAATGGTGATAGTTTCTAACATCAACCAATCCACGAAATTGCGCGACCAACTTCCGTTGTACTGAGGTAGATACCTGTCTCTACCCGACAAGGATTAGCTCCACTGGTCACGGCTTCTCACTAGAACTCCGAGAATTCCCTCACGAAGCTAGTCACTAGTGAGCACATGTTAATTACTAGTAAAGGGGTTGTGGAGATTAATAAGTTTTTGATTGAGATCATGAACCGATTGATGTTGGACCGTGACCAGTGGAGCTAATCCTTGTCGGGTAGAGACAGGTATCTACCTCAGTACAACGGAAGTTGGTCGCGCAATTTCGTGGATTGGTTGATGTTAGAAACTATCACCATTGGATGCCGGCTCAGTGGTCAAGTTGGTTAAGCGTTCGCGCGCGAGACCGAAGGCCCTGGGTTCGAATCCCGCTCGCGGGGTCGTGGGTGCGCACTGCTGAGGAGTCCCACAATAGGACGAAACGGCCGTCCAGTGCTTCCAGGTTTTCAATTGTGATGGTCTAACATCAATCAGTTCATGATCTCAATCAAAAACTTCCAAGAAAAAAAGTTAAAAATAATCTACACCAATATAGTATAGAGGTATAGAGAAAAATCACCGAAAAACGCACACAAAACTTATTTGACGCTGTACTAATTATGAAAATTTATAAATACGTTTATATATTTGTATGCAGAAACCTTATATCAAAAAAATCAAGTTGTCTGAAAAACATTGAAATACAATATTAAAACAGTAGAAAGATGTATTTTGACTACTTTTAGGTTAAAATGATTAAATCAAAATTAGAAATATAATTTACACTGTAACTAGAAACCGAACGACAATCGAAATTCTAGCTTTATAAAGATGAAATTAGTTACAAATTTTTATTGGTTTCAAGTTTTGTAAGCTGGGTAAGTTCATAGTTTAAACCTAATTGAAAACATCCACTCTTCCCAAAGAATAGAGTTCATTATTTAGCGTTATATTTTTTTTATACTAAACATCCCTATAAGACTGAAAAAAAAGTATGGTTATAAGGTGATCTAATTTATTTCAATTAACTAATGAATTGGTTACAAAGTTAAAAGAAATCATACAGAGTTTTATAACCATGTATTTCTTCCCCATCTTTCTCGATAAGTCAATTCACCACAATCATATTCTTGGAACCGGCGTTTCTATTAGGAAAAACAAAAGTCAAATAACCATATGGTATTGAATCAAATACAATATAAGCATGTGAAAACTAATAATAGTTTAGAACAATCTAAAAGTTCTTTATAACAATTTATACTGGATTATTGTTTGAACTTTAATTAAAAAGAACAATACTGGTTTCCCTCCTGCATTACGGTCACAGTGACAGAGAATAAATACACACAACGACGTGAAATACATAAAATCAATAATACTATGAATTATTACTGTCTCATTTTTCGATTGCCGCATGCGTGTACTTAATTATTAATGGTCTCTCCATTTGAGAGTAAGATTAGGTTATTAAAACATTATATTTGTTTGGTTAGACAATAAGTTACTAAAATATTCAAGAGTATTGGGATGTTTAGCTCCAGTAGATCTTACCATATTTAGATTATCTAGCAACATATTCCACATAACACTAAGTGACTTACGCAGCTGTCAGTCATACACAACGTAGAACCTGATATACTAGTCGACTTAAGTTGCAACACCGCATGGGAACTGCAAGATAAAATTATCAAGATAAATCGCAGAGTACTAAAAGTGATAACCAGTATCAGTGTGGTGTGCGCTACTTATATCGACATAAGTAGTATATGACGTTACTCGTGAACAGAATGTCTGGAAGCGGAGAGACAAGAGGATCGAACAGTAAAGAATGGGAACAGAATGCAATTTGTATGAAAATGCAAGAACAATGAACTCTGAGTCATTATGAGACAATCGATGGACATTTTGCAAATTACGTATTTACTATTTGATTGTTAGATTTTATTAACAAGTCCTGTAATTTTGTGTCAAATACATTCGGTTGTCCCCACTCGTGTTCTGTTCACTACATCAATAGTGGTAGAAAATAATCGGAACAAAAAAATGTGGAATGTCGGGATTCGAGAACGAAAGGAAGATAAAATCAGAATGCACCTGCACCATTATGGACGATTCTGAGCCATGTCACCCAGTCTCTAACGACTGGTTACGATAATTGCGTGGACCTCAATCAGGTAATCTACACTTACCTACATGACTTAATCCAACGGTCAGCGACTTCACTATTTTATGCCATCCCTTGTTTTGAGCGCCACTAGCTTTCTCCCAACCTACTCCTACACCAGACATCACGCGCCAAGGTAAAGGGTGATTGGATATAAGTAACATATGTCCCAACCGCTTCAGTGGATAAAGATTTACTACCTCATCAGCCAATTTTCTATCTCCCGCAAGTCCCTTATGCCTAACTTTAGCATTGCTTACTCTGAAGTCTCAAAATACACGAGCAATGGTTTGAAGACACCTATGATCGAGTACCAGTAACCTATGAATATCCTCTCTTCCTAATGGCCATTTTCGACACCCATAAAATAGAACAGAGTAAACTACTGAACGGTAAACCCTTCCTTTGATTCGGTAGACGAACGGTTTGCCTAAACCACGGGTTATACAAGTTGGTTAAAGTCAAAAGAACTTTTCGGATTTGTGTTGAGAATTTGTCAGACACCAGTACATCAGATCTGATAAGATTTGCAAGATAAGTGAAGTGGTTAGCGCACTCAACTACTTCACTTTCTATTACTAACTGAAAAGTTGAAGTCCTGAAGAAATATTTTATATTTAATGGGAACGAATCTCATCCCAAACATGCTGGCACTATTGCTTAGGGTGGTTAGGAAACTCTACACTTTGTCAGCGTTTTCACCGAATAGAATCATGTCATCTGAGTATTGCGAGTCGATGAGTGAATTTCAGGTTACGAGGCCAACCTCCAAAAAAGTTAGACGAGTGTTGTCTTTAAAGAGATGTCTATGAAGAAGTCAGATATAAATAAAGTGGACAACCCTGGTGAAATGCTAAGGCGGTCACAAGAATAGTTAAATTTTATTAGAAATACTAAAATCTCTTCAGGAACGATAACTGCCCGCACATTTGAAGTTGACAATTCTGATGACAGTTCGCTATAAGCTCTTACTAAACCTGCAGTGTTCGGGTAAAGAGCCTGTGTAAGATTGATGTACTTCCTCGGGAAACCTTTTAAAAACAACCATTGCCACAAAAACTAATGATCAACAGGGGCGAACGCTACTTTAAGACCAAGGAATACAATTATAGTTCAGAGTCGGAAAGCATATCTGGGTTCTAAAACTTGAGGAAGAGTGAAGATTTGGTCTACATACTCACGTCCAGGTCTGAAACCAGATTTTATTCCCCAAGTTTTCTCTTCACGGGCCTTAGTTAACAGTTGAGTGATTACAGAGATTATTATTCTGGACACTATATTAATCAGGCCGATTCCTCTGTGGTTGTCGCAAGAGGAATTTTGTCCTTTCTAATAAACTAAGACGATCAGCAATCCAGACTAGTCAAGTGGAATCATGTCCAGTTCCCGAATTCTAGGATTTCTGTCAGTCTTACTGCTTAAACTGGACCCCATCCTTAGAACTCACCAGCACAATTACATCTGCACTTGCAGCTCTACCTTGCTCCGGGTTGCCTATGGTCTTTTCAGCCACACTAAGAGTTAGAGGCTTGCGTTAACTTACCATTTAGGTTGTTTGGAAATATTGGGCAAACAGAGTGTAGTTGGAGCTCAAATGAACTGTTGCTTGAAATTTTTTAGCTATCAGTCTAATCTCCCGGATCGAGAGTGAATAGTGGTCACATCGTTTTACAAAATAGTTTCCCTAACAGTTGGATTTTTAACACCCGTTTCCTTAATGAGTCTGAATAGTTGTCTACAGTTATCTATTCCCCCTGTCTTTTCCATCTCTTTTGCTTTCGCTACTACCACTGCTCGTAGTTACTGCGTGATTTCTTATAAATCTAATAAGTTGTCCATCTTGCGGGCCGCCATGTTGGACGATGTCTTTCCTTGTGCTTAAAGCTGATGCCTGTTCGAAATAAACGGTTATCTGGGCACAGTTGCAGTAGTCGGTCGCCACTATCTATCGATGAGCTACGATACTGTGAGACCCGCACAGATGCCTTTCATTCTGATTCAGACCACTTAAATAGACATTAAAATCACCCTCTGTCGTTACTACATCTAAGCACTTAGCTACTGGAAGGTGGAAAGTTTTCTATAAAATTTGTCTTTCGCTTTATTTGAGCTGCATTGAGTGAGACCGTATGGAGGGGGCTGGACGAAAAAGTGGTGATATATGTCCGTATCTTTCTGATTTGTAACTGTCCCGTTTAATCGGACAGCACACAAGTGATTGTCTATCATAATCCTGTTTAAGAGAACCTATTTTGCTTTTGAACTTAGTGCTATACCACAAGAAGTAGATGTCGAGCTCCCAGGTACATAGAGGACCAACTGAGTTGGTCCTTTATACTGACTAGGTGAGGTTAAGTGAACAACCGGACTTCTAACTTACATGGATGTTTGGGAGACACGACGCATATCGATGGTGAGAGATGCCAAAGTCCTGGTTAAGGAAGCCTGTTGTTCAATTTGACATAAGATCCAAACAGTGGAAGTAGTGAATAGCAGAAGTTTTGGAATTTCAGTAGTTCCGTGTAATTAGATTCTTTAAATAAGTCACAACACGATAATACGTGTATAACAGTGATGCTGTTTGAGTGGATACAAGTACAAAATAAACGAAATATAGAAAGATACATCAATAATGTACTTTTCAAACAACACAGCCAGCACTCTTTACCAATATTTCAGAATCAAACGGTAGAACGACGAGTACTTAAATAGCTAAATATGGACTATTTACTTGTTAGGAAAAACGGATGTTTCTATTAAGATAAGTGATTATACCCTTAAAAAGATAAATTAACGCAACCAACTCGTAGCCCAATCAAAAAGAGGGAATAAACTTCGCTGGATATATAGACAACTCCGCCTGGAGTCCCTCCGGGGGCTACTGCCGGTCCCAAGCCCGGATAAAGAAGGAGGGTTGGACATGGGGTTAGCGTCCCCATCCCGTAGAAAACTAAATCGCTAAAAAAACGCTAACCAGAATAAATTATTCAAACCTTTTAAACTCTGCCCTGGGAGTCAGAAGGTTTTCATTTAGAAGAATTATGACGCCTCATGATGAAAGCCGAATTCCTTCGGAAGTTTCGAGGCCGATGCCCCTTCTGACAACCAGAGCGACCATTTATTTAGGTACATGGAATGTTCGTACAATGTGGGACACCGGGAGAGCCTTCCAAATTGCTGCAGAAATGAGAAGATACAACCTAGAGATACTTGGGATCAGTCAAACACATTGGACACAAGTTGGACAACAACGACTAACTACAGGAGAGCTCCCGTTATACTCCGGCCATGAAGAAGAAAATGCACCACATACACAAGGAGTTGCATTGATGCTGTCCAAACAAGCGCAAAATGCGCTTATAGGATGGGAATCTCATGGACCAAGGATCATCAAAGCCTTGTTCAAAACAAAAAAAGAGGGTATTTCAATGAACATCATCCAATGCTATTCGCCTACCAACGACTACAATGAAGACGCTAAAGATCAATTCTACAATAGGCTGCAGTCAATCGTCGAGAAGTGCCCAACAAAGGACCTGACCATTCTGATGGGAGATTTCAATGCCAAGGTTGGAACGTACAACACTGGATATGAAGACATCATGGGACAACACGGACTGGGAGAAAGAAACGAAAATGGTGAGAGATTTGCAAATCTATGTGCCTTCAATAAGCTGGTCATAGGCGGCACCATATTCCCACATAAACGCATACACAAAACCACATGGACTTCACCGGATCACTCTACACAAAACCAAATCGACCATATTTGCATCAACAAAATGTTCAGGAGGACTATAGAGGACGTGAGAACCAAGAGAGGAGCTGATATAGCATCAGATCATCACTTGCTGGTCGCCAAGATGAAATTGAAACTCAAGAAGCACTGGACAACGGGGCGGACAATATCACAAAAGTTCAATACGGCCTTTCTTCGGGATACTGACAAACTCAACGAATTCAAGATAGTCCTCAGCAATAAGTTCCAGGCCTTTCATGATCTACTCAATGGAGAAGGAACTACTATGGAGGGCAACTGGAAGGGGGTCAAAAAAGCAATCACTTCAACATGCCATGAGGTTCTGCGCCACAAGAAGCACCATCACAAGGAATAGATCACTGTTGATACACTGGATAAGATTCAAGAAAGGAGGAACAAGAAAGCAGCAATCAATACCAGTCGAACAAGAGCAGAAAAAGCCAAGGCACAAGCTGAATACACAGAAGTAAACAAACAAGTGAAGAGGAGCATCAGAACTGACAAACGTAAATATGTGGAAGATTTAGCAACGACGGCGGAATAGGCTGCAAGAGAAGGAAACATGAGACAATTGTATGACATAACAAAGAAACTCTCTGGAAATCGCCGCAAACCAGAACGACCAGTGGAAAGCAAAGAAGGCAAGGTAATCACCAACATTGAAGAGCAACAAAACAGGTGGGTAGAACACTTCAAAGAACTCTTGAATCGACCAGCTCCACTGAACCCACCCAACATCGAAGCAGCACCCACGGACCTCCCAATCAATGTTGGCCCACCAACAATTGAAGAAATCAGCATGCCCATCAGACAAATCAAGAGTGGCAAAGCAGCAGGACCGGACAACATCCCAGCAGAGGCACTAAAAGCAGACGTAGCGGCAACTGCAAGGATACTCCACATTCTCTTCAATAAGATTTGGGATGAGGGACAAGTACCAACAGACTGGAAAGAAGGACTTCTGATCAAAATACCGAAGAAAGGCGATCTCAGCAAGTGTGATAACTACAGGGGCATCACTCTTCTCTCAATACCGGGAAAAGTCTTCAACAGGGTATTGTTAAACAGGATGAAGGACTGCGTAGACGCCCAACTTCGTGACCAACAGGCAGGATTCCGTAAGGATAGATCGTGTACAGACCAAATCGCAACTCTACGGATCATTGTGGAACAATCAATTGAATGGAATTCATCACTCTACATCAACTTCATTGACTACAAAAAGGCATTTGATAGCGTGAACAGAACAACACTATGGAAACTTCTTCGACACTACGGCGTGCCTCAAAAGATAGTCAATATCATACAGAACTCATATGATGGATTACACTGCAAAATTGTGCATGAAGGACAGTTGACAAAGTCGTTCGAAGTGAAGACCGGTGTTAGGCAAGGTTGCTTACTCTCACCCTTTCTCTTTCTCCTGGTGATCGACTGGATCATGAAGACGTCAACGTCTGAAGGGAAGCGCGGGATACAATGGACGTCCAAGATGCAGTTGGATGATCTAGACTTCGCAGATGATCTGGCCCTTCTATCCCAAACACAACAACAGATGCAGGAGAAGACGAACAGTGTGGCAGCAGCCTCAGCAGCAATAGGTCTCAATATACACAAAGGGAAAAGCAGGATTCTCCGATACAACACAGAGTGCACCAATCCGATCACAATTGACGGAGAAGATTTGGAAGATGTAAAAACCTTTACGTATTTGGGCAGCATCATTGATGAACAGGGTGGATTTGATGCAGATGTGAAGGCGCGGATCGGCAAAGCAAGAGCAGCATATTTACAACTGAGGAACATCTGGAACTCAAAGCAACTGTCAACCAACACCAAGGTCAGGATTTTCAATACAAATGTCAAGACAGTTCTACTATATGGGGCGGAAACCTGGAGAACTATGAAAGCCATCATCTAGAAAATACAAGTGTTTATTAACGGTTGTCTACACAAAATACTTCGGATCCGTTGGACGGACACTATAAGCAACAACGTACTGTGGGAAAGAACAAACCAGATCCCAGCGGCGGAGGAAATCAGGAAGAAGCACTGGAAGTGGATAGGACACACATTGAGGAAAGCACCCAACTGCGTCACAAGACAAGCCCTCACATGGAATCCTCAAGGCGAAAGGAAAAGAGGAAGACCAAAGAACACATTACGCCGAGAAATGGAGATAGACATGAGAAAAATGAACAAGAATTGGATGGAACTAGAAAAGAAGGCCCAGGACAGAGTGGGTTGGAGAATGCTGGTCAGCGGCCTATGCTCCATTAGGAGTAAGAGGCGTAAGTAAGCAAGTAAGGAGATATTGACAGTTATAGTATAGGAGTTGGTCATGGGAACAGGAGAAATATTAGGAAGTGTCGACGGAATTTGGTCGTGAACAAGATGGTCACGGGCTCTGTTAGAGGTATGAGGGCGATTGATACTTCTCGGTTTCTCGCACTGTAAAACGATAGTTGCTCTTCATGTCTGAAAAGAAAACTGAATTAGTCGTGGTCTTAGCATGCTAAAAGCAAAACCATTAAGCCTAAAGGACAACTGCACCAGACTGATCAAATAAACTTTTGGTGTTTAGCCTGTGAAAAGTAGGCTCCCATACTTTGAAGGTCTTTCAGCCAGGGGTGGGAATCCGTGAAACAGTTTTAGAGTCAACCCTTTATAACCCATTTCCTCCGTTTTGAGTAGATAAAATGGTCTTAAATATTAGTGGTTTGAGAGAAACACCTTAGTACCAACGAGAAGCGGATTACGCTCATATGATTTTGAGATGGTGGAAAATCTTCTCCACACCTGATAACGCTACACCCCAGTACAGTCAGCAGTAAGCAATCGCCATCCGACCTCAAGTCGCTGCTTTTAGTCTTACGGTTCTCCGACCGAACTCTCTGTCGTGATAGGACCCACAGGAATAATCGTTTCAGGTCAACCTAGCTCGATTGAGCCATTGCGATAGGCAAGCCTGAACACTACATCAATGTAGGTATCAGCTACAATCGGGATATAACTGCACCAGAAAATGATTAAAGTGAAAAAACATTCGAACAATTTAGACGCACTAAAAGGAAAAAACGAAGGACGATAAAAAATACGAAAATACTGATTCCGGTGTTCACCATACCTTAAGCCTTCCTTTTATTACCATCGCTAGACACCCTACGCCTAAAACTCCAAGGGCGATTAGTCCCAATTTGGGGAATGGACGTAAATATTCTGCATATGTAACCTGGGCTGAAAAATGGTGTTGCAATGCAGGATCGTGCTGAAAAATATAACAAACGTAGGAGAAAATAAAATCAATAAAGCCTAACAAACTTCATACAATAAGTTATGCTACATGATATCTTAAAGATAACTGCCTTAAGTGAATATCATTCCTACAAAAGTACTTACGGTGAAAAATCTCAAATATCTTGAAAGTGAATAAGAAAAGTTGCCAACCCAAACCTGAAACCCTACTTTTCCATTTTTTTCAGTTCGAACACCTATAAATATCTTCTTAAAAATAAATTATAAACTGATGGTGTCAAACACCGCAAAACACAACTCTCAATAGAAAGCTTGAAAGTTTAAATATAAGTTTAAAAAAAACCATAACAACAGGTTGAAACTAAAATTCAAAAATATGTAACTACCTTTGAGTGGTAATTTCAATCAATAATACTACGTGATATGTCAAAAGTTTAGGGTTCTGAAGGCGTGTAGTATAGCACCTACTACATATACTCCCATCACTAAACAACGAACATAGATTAACGCTGTCTCACATCATATTTACAGACATCGGTCCTATGAAACAAATTAAAGGCGATCTCAATATTAAACACAAAAATATTTGTTCTAACACCTGATGAATTATGGAGACTTAATTACTCGATCTACAAAGTTTTTATTTTGTAATAGTTTTTGCTCAGTATGTAGTCAGCATCCTAAGTAGTAATAGACTCATTTTTAACCACACGTCAATATTTTACTGTTTTCTTTCCATTAATAAACACAACCAAACGATTTTAAATATGGTTATCTGTAAAACAGAAGCACTTAGTAAATGAATAAAATGAAGTTGATTTTATCAGTATAGTCCTCAAAGTATGGAGATAGTTCGCGCTGCTACTCAGCGTCATGTAAAAAGTAAGGATGATTTAACCAAGCAACATTAATTTACTTATTTCATAGACTTTATTGCAACAGATTGAGCTGCAGCTAGGAATATAGGACCTATGAATCTTAATTTAGCTGTTGATAAATCTCATATAGCGCTTCAAATCAAGTTGGAAATTTTCGGAATTAAATGTAAAATTAGGTCAGTGGACAACATTTTATAAATACAAACCGAAGTGGTAGCGAATACCAATCTACCTTGATGGAAGTCAGTAAAGAATGAGGTAACCCAAGGGAGAACTTCATACCCCCTCCTATTTCTTTGACCTACCGGTGTTCATAGACCCATTCATATTAATGTTTGCACATATTAAAAACCAGGAGCAGTGAATGAATGGATCAATCATAATTCTTTATGAAAATCTATTCTTACACTATAGCTAATAACAGTTCGTAACGAAGGCCCTTACAATTCTATAAATAAATAGTTTCCTTACTGGCCAGAAACTGGCTTAAGGTTGTCCATATACCAATATTTCCACTAGCAAACCATAACAACGACGATAAGATATTGTTACAAGTCAGATCAAACGCACCAGTTGGCTAGACAATTAATGACACTTGGGAGAGGGTACAAATAAATGTGTTGTAACCTGAATCAACCACAAAATATTTTGATCACTTCCTACAATTTTACTATAGGATCTAATATCATACTAGAGTATCATAGGACGAAAGAATATTTCGGCACCAGTCTCTCATTAGAGACGAAATCTTAAGGAAGTTCAAAAGCCTGTAACAAATCGTTTATGCATAGAAGTTTGTTTATTTTGCACTGGGTAATGAACTGCTGTAATTCTCTACAAAACCAGCTACTTTAGCCATATGTTGGTGATTTAAGTCGAGAATATATCTCTATAGCACTAAAAACTCTAAACATTAACATAGACCACTTTTATTCGAACTTTATTACGGAGGACCAAAGGTAAAAACCTTGCATGTTTTAAACAAAATACGTGAAAGCATGCATGTGATGAAGCGCTGAACGAGTCACATTAGCCCCCTTGTGAACTCCTCTCAAACAGGACGAGATGTCTGAAGCATGTTTAAGTAGGAACTCAGCATAGAAGTTAACAAACGCAAGTAGATAAGTACGAGAAAGGTTTAAACGGAACCCAGAACTAACCAGGTAAGAAGTGAAGGCACTGAGTCCTATGCGCGGAACGAAAGGATTTTGCACTACACTGCAAATTATATATCATTTAACGATAAGAAATGACCATTAAGTGATACTCAAAATAATCCTTAAGCCAAAAGTCTTAATACATGACTAAACTTCAAGATAATTGATTCTCTACTGGAGTTAGAAACGTAGCATGAATCTCTAGTATTCCATCGAAACTAATGACCCCTAAGTGCAGACCGTGGACATCCAATGAAGAATAAGAGACGAACTATGTATATCCTTACAGCTCTTAACCCACATATATCATATCATTTGGTGATCTGATGTTTACATTATTTAATATTATGTCTCTTTCATCAAAATTCTCGAGTACCAACTTCAAGATCCTTCTTGGTTGGGTCTCGCCTCCAACCCATTTACCGAGTTTTATTACTCTCGTGATATGTACACCTGAAACCTCTTCAGGCAGTACATTTCCGATGACATATTCCACTAACTCCAGATCGTGTGTATGTCTTTTAGCAGAGTAATTGTCTTCCGACTCCTCTAGATCCCAAATAATTAAACTAGGAACGGGTTTAACTTTGAATGTCGTTAAACATTTTCCTAGAACTTACAGTTCCAGGTAGGGGTTTTGATAGCGACTTGCACTTGCACAATGTATCGCGAAACCGAAACATTGACTTGGAACATGATACGTCATTGCTGAACCTTGTCCTCACACGCCACTGTGAGGGTGTTATCGACATTCAGCACCTTGCCCCGCTAGCGAATAGTGACCATGTCTTACTTTAAGTTTCGGACACATGGTATACAATTTGTATCTGCTTCACCCCATCCCAATATCTGGGGAGCCAATATTCCGGCAATCATAGACTGTGCTATTTCGACTGACTGGTCGATCGGTGAGGATGAGTCGATCGAATACGAATGGAGTACGTTTAAGGCTACATTCGAGGCCGTAACATCACCGTTTATCCCAAGGTCAACACGTAAGCTATCACATTGCCCTCCATGGATTAATAAGGAAACATGAAAGCTGTTGAAGCTTAGGAAACACTTCTGGGACTTATTCTTGTCAACAGGACAAAAATCATTTAAGTGTGAACACCAAAATATCCGGAATATATGTAAAAAGATCATAGCCAGATGCCGTACTATTTACTAAAGACAGTTGGCATATGATAGCCCTACTTGTCTGAAACGATTGTTTTCGCACGTTAAACGGCGAACAAAACGTAGCGGTATTCCCCCGTTACTGTTACACGAAAATCCAGATTTACTAGTTCAATCAGATCTGGCGAAAGCTGAGACTTTTTCAAACTATTTTAGCAAAGTCTACTCTACGTGTATTGTTACAAATACTTGTCCCAATCACACCGAGATACCAGGCATAGGATCTGTACATGTGACTGAGAAAACTGTTTTTCTATTGATCAATAACATCAAACCATGTAAGATATGGGACCCTGATAGGTTACATCCACGACTGCTGTCATCTTTTGCGGACATTATTTCAAGACCTCTCGAAACGCTCTTCAACATGTCCCTTTCACTCGCTTAACTCCCTAAAAATTGGAAAGATGATATAGTCAGTCCGATATTTAGAAATAGTCAGAGACAGATCGTATGTTACAGGCCTGTCAGTCTAACCGGCATAGTCGTTAAGTTACTTGGAAAGATAATTCGGGTTAAGTTACTAAGTCACATAGATTCACACAATCTGTTGACTCTGGAGCAGCATGGGTTTTACAAAAAGCATTCATGCTTGACTAACTTATTGCGAGAGAGGATTAGACAGCAACCCTAGACAATAGTCTGTCTGTTGATGTGAGATTCATAGACTTCAGCAAAGCGTTTGACAAGATTTCACACTTAGATCTCATGCAGAAGCTCTCGAGCTCGGGAATAACAGGTGCTGTACAGGAGTGTATAGGAAACTTATTATGTGACCGCAGGCAGATAGTGAGGGTCGGTGGAACGCTATCCGAATAGAGACCGGCCAAATGTGGTGTACCCCAAGGGCACCGTCTTAGGCCTCACTACTTTTTCTTCTCTACATTAATGAATTACCGCGATTTTTTAGGTCGTCGACGCTATTGCTTGCGGATGTCAAAATCTGGAGAACAATAAGAAGTAAGGTTGATCACTTTGATCTCCAAGCTGACCTAGACGAATTAGTTAGATGGGCTCGAGCTTGGGGCTTGGAGGTTAATTCTAGGAAGAGTGTGCTCATGCACATCGGTCACGGTAATAATTACCGTTATACTATCGACGGTACATCTTTTCCATGCGTTCAAGAACATAAAGACTTAGCAGCAATAGTAAGTCACTTACAAACAATTAAGCATTGAAACGCAGCTGCTGTCAAAGGTTTTCGTGCATTATGGTCACTTCGCCGAGCATTCAAATGCTTTGACATGGAAATCTTTCAAATTTTGTATCCCACCTATACAAGACGACAATTAGAGTACTGTATCCAAGCAGCTGACTCATGTTTGACTAAGGATACTAACTCAATTGAGCGTATTCAGCGTGTGAGAATGAAACTAGAGAAGGGTCTTACGATGAGCACTTAAAACGTCTAAACCTTTTCTCTTTGTCGTATCGTAGGACGCGAGGTGACCTTATACTGGCATTTCGTATCTTTAGTTACGACTTGGATGTTAATATATCTGCTCTTTTTTTCTCCCTCCAGACCGATAATCTACGAAGTAATAGCAAGAAGGTTCACAAACCGCGATCTAGTAAACTTAATGTGGGGTTCTGTTGTTCTCATCGATTGGTCAATGACTGGAACGCCTTACCCAAACAAGTGGTACCAGCCCCATTGGTGAACATTTTCAAGGAGAAACTGGATTTTCACTGGTGGGTAAACTGTTAGAATTAACATAGGTTCACCAACCTACAATCCTCATTACTGAAGACTACATGAATATACACCATCCGGTCAACACTAGGCTTATAACCTACTCATATTCGGCAGTAAAAAAGGAACACAAAAAGCTTCGAAGACTACAAAAATTGAGGAGGTAACGCTTAATATTATCATAATACAAAAATGTTTACCAAATGACCCATTGGGGGGTTGAATGGATTTGTATATCGTTTCCTGTACTCAGCCTTCATTGCATCCCTCATTTTCGCTCTCTGTTTTATGGCAGCTTGCTCTTCTGGGGTTTCGTAAAAAGTATTCCATGGGTCGAAAACAGAATTATTGCTTTTGGCCATCAGCGTAACGCACGACTGAAAGTACCACAAAAGCGAAACTCAAACTTCAAACATTGCTTGGTACAATTAACGAATTATGTATCCTTTCGGACTTGTGTTTGGGTAGTTACAAGCATTCTTACATATTGATACTTAAGATTATTGGTATACATAACACCTGAAATAATCTTTAATATTAATGTAACTAAAGTAACAGTCCAACCTTCTTTTAAAAGACTCAGCAGAATATCCCGTCACTATTTATTATAGAAGAGGGGTCCATAACTTACTAATTTTAACCAAAAAGAAGACTGCACAGGAAACACATAGAGAACCATGATGCTATAAAACATCAGCATCGCAATATTGCCACCTCATAAACATGGTTAATGTCAGTAGTATATGATAATGAAGTTCATTTATTTGGTTTCCTATCTAGTAGGGCTTGCAGAATAAGCTGTAGAGGTGGTGAGGTTGTCATGTGCACGAAAAGTTCCCTAACTATATAAGCTGTCGAGACAGTAGCATACGATTCTGAGACATGTGAACTGGTGCTCTGCAGAACGAAGTGTTAACTGTAAGATATTGAATTAGTTGTAGCATATTACAATCCGAAGTGTGTAATGGGTGGCTTTCCGCTAAGGGAACTCAAATCCTGGTACAATAGGGGTAAAATCCCTATAGTAGGTGACTTAAATGCACTACAATCTTCCTAGCTTTATTCCGGCACACTGGGGATTCTACCATATATGACCTACAAAACTCCTCCTATCCCTTGAACAATCTTTACACTGAAGATGCTGCAGGTATTCGGGGTTTGAAAACTCTTTGACTAGTAACATCTAGTATGAATCGTATCCACCAAGTGAAATCAAAAGACAAAAGCGAGTAGGTTCGAAGATATATTTGATAGGCTATCAATATATCCAGGATAGTCTGATCTAATCTAGCTAGCGATTGCAGGGCTTGTTGGGCACGGCGTTCCCACTCGTGATCTGGTGAGGGTGCATGACCGGGCGCCTTCAGTTAGGTGAGTCCATTAAGACTAATGTGGTCAGCATCCAATGTCGAAGACTTACTGAGCTGTTTATTTTGAGGATCCATTTACCGCTGCAACACGCAGCGATGATGTCAGTCAAACAACTTTCCTCCCATCTTAAGGGAAACGAGATCATGAGGTCATCCTATACAAGTTCATGGTCGAGATGGCCTTTCAAGCAGTTGAGCCGGCCCATACAAATATATGGAAGGCAGATATGAAGGCATTCAACTTCGCAGCTTCGGCTGAAAACCAGAAAATTGACTCAGGAGCGTCAGTAGAAGAGACATGGTCTCACTTCCGACAGTTGCACAATCAGGTAACTTAACCTTTTGTGCCCTGAACAGTCCCAAAGAAGAAGAGACACGGCCATCGCTAAATAGGCCGGGAGATTCGACGTTTACCAAGACAAAAGAAGAAATGTTGGAGCACCGCCATCGGCCTTTGCACAGTCAGTACGATGGAACGCTGCAGGTGGGTGCAAAGTAAATGGGTAATTACAATCTGAGATGCTCATCAGGAATACGAAAAACAGTTGGCACAATCTGTAATCAAGCAGCCTAAGAGACTCTTCTTGTACACAAATTAGAGAACAAGGACGCGGCGTTGGATTCTCAGCTTAATAAGGAAGGGAGTGTGTCTGAAATGACAGAGGAAAATCACGAAGAAGCAGAGGCTACGGTAAACTATTTTGGGGCCGTTTTTACTCAGAGGCCTCTTCCTGACGTGGAACCAGACTCAAATACACAATCTTGAAGTCATCTGCTCACTGTAGACTTCGATTGAGACGATCTACAGAAAGCTCTTAGCACTTTAGACACGGAAAAGTCAACAGGACCGAATGAATCACACCCTGAAATCTCTAGACAAATTGCACAAAATATCTTTGCCCCACGGACTACGATATTCAATATGTCGCCTGGTCAAGGTGAGTTACCAACAGACTGGATGAATGCGGTTGCCACTGCATTACATAAAACATTATCATGACAACTCCCATCAAACTACAGACGTACCGGCCTCTCCATTGTCGTAGTTAAATTACTAGGAAGAGTAATCTAAAAATCTGGCTAGAAATCACGGGAGACGCAGATGCATGTGCACTTTGAACAGACATAGATATTCTGATTAGCTGGTCTGAAGAATGGCTGGTGTATATCAACGCAGCTAAGCGTATTTGCACACACTTTGAGGATATAAAGGGAAATGTGTATAGCAGACGGAAAGTGCCAGTACTCGTAGTTCGGCCCCACAAGAATCTTAGGGTGACAGTGATTCATGATCCAAAGATCACAGTCCACTGCCGTGAGGTTGCAACTAAGTGGCTTAGAACCCTACGGGGTTTAGAACAGACACTCACCACGTTAAATACTACCCTGTTCTCTACAGTACGAAATTAAAACTTGAAAACTGCACTCAAGCTGCAAGCACTTGTTCAAAAAGTTGACTTGGAAAAAGTACAGAGGGCAGCTACCCGTGCAATTCCAGAACTCCGGGGTTTACCATATAAAGAGCGGCTTGAGAAGCTAGATCTCTTTGCTCTGTGCTATTGCAGATTAAGAGGTGGTCTGATTTTGATGTACAGAACATTAATAAATGATTTAGGACCTGATATATACTTTGTTTTACTTCCTACAAGATTAGAACAACTCAGAATACATAGCGGGCGAGTAGAGAGGTTGAGAATGACCAAGATACTCGCGGCATGCAGGTTTTCACACTTAGTCATCTATTCTTGGAACCTGTTACTCGAAGCAGTGTCTGCACCTTCAAATGACTCATTCAAAAGAAGACTAGGCACTCACATAAGGTTACTAGAAAAGAACTAGCCAATGCCGTAGGTCTTCTGCCCTTACTCCACAAATATGAAATCTAAATCTCAATATGAATTGCTTAATGAGTTCTTTTATCTCCTATACTAAATGTATGTCCTCTTATATGTAGTAGTACTGAATCTAATACGTGATGAAGAAAATTATGGGTCAAACGTTTACTCTACGAACCTTCCCGTCTTTTTTCTATCGAACTACTTCAAAGGTTACTATTTCCTCCTTGGAGTGAGGATGCACAAAGTGGATGTTTTCCAGAAAAGGATTTAGATAAGGACAAAAAGCAGTTCTATCGACGTCTTAGAGGTGACCTTATGACATATGGCATCCTAAAAACTTCTCGGCATCCCCTTAGATACCTACTTAAGCCCAGTCTCAACACAAACCTTAGGGGTGACACCCAGAAACTGAAGACAAAGAATGGCAGCACGAACTGTAGGCACACCTACTCCTCAAGAGTAGTCAAGTGCAGTAATTTTCTTCAGGCTGAGCTAGTCCAAACGACTTCTCAGGTGTTTTCATGAGGAAGACTTGACACACTCTCAGGGACTAAGGACAGTATCTCGTTATGATTCGCTAACATTTTTTTCTTTTTCATCGTTAAATATACTAAAGTTCCTACCTGGAGGCATCGGTGATCCATCTCTACAAGTTACAGAAGCTCGGTTAGTGAAAGCTTCTATTCCATCCATAACCACTTGAAACCATTTGAAATAGTCCCAATGTCAGGCTACTCAATATTCTGGAATAAGACCTCAAAACAGTGCTTTATCGGTTATAGGATAGTAATGATATCGCATCACACAAGCTGATACCATGGTCCTTTTTCGCGATGAAGAGTGTAGGGCCTTTACAACCCAGGAAGTACTAGGCTAATGGAGTATCATTACCGTTCACTATTGGGATCCTCTATCTGCTGGTACTGAAATGGAGAAAGTTCTTATTAGTACAGTCGTACACCATATTCAAGTTTTCGTGCATGAGATAAAGTATCAGCTGGATCTGGCATCTGTCTCTAACTCTTAAAATCCTTTGTGTAATACAGTTTGGGAGTCTAAGTCACCATGCAAATCGTTAATAGACGATAAGAATACAAATGGAACAGGTATTGAGCCTCGTGGCACTCTGTTTATCACAAAGATCAAACCAGACAAGCACACGATGAGTAAGCACACTGGAAAACAGGTGATGATGGGGAATGTATGCGCTTTTATGAGTCTTAATCGATAAGTGAGTAGTCATTGACTGTCTGTGTTTACGACCAGTAAGAAAATAGATGCAGGTTAGAATTTAAATATCCGTCCAATTAAAATGACACACTGGATACATAGTAAATCGAATGTCTATATTACGGCACGAGGTAATGAAAATATAATGGGCATGACTTCGCCCTTCCTATGTGACCTGGTAAGATAGATCACAAGACGAAAAGCTGAAGTAAACTTAACATGCATCCATTAATGCTTATTGTTTTGAAGTAGAGGATTCGACGTTTAACTATATCAATCAAAACCCTTACAAACTGAAAACACTGTCGGATTTACCCCAAAACTGACTAAGGGTCAAGCAATTATCATAAACATGAGTTGGAGATGTACTCCCCTTGGTTAAAACTTATGTTCTTCCTGGTAATCACACAAGCATAATCCATTGTTAATCATCTTGTAAAGACTTACCTAGCCGAAGACATCTTACAGCACCACATCACCTATAATTGCGGCACATAGGCTTATTGTCACTAAATCTCAATGAAATCGTATTCCGTCTTATACTAAACTGATACTTGCAACTAACTGGTATGTACCATCAGCCAGTAGGTATGAATATAAATAATAGTCTATGGCAGATCAGAACATTGGGTCTAAAGCACGTCTCTTACGATTACACTCATGTTTAACAAATTCCTCCTAGCTGTCTGTCCAAAATTCACATAATAATCACTTTTCACGTAATAAAAAACTGTTTTTGATAACCATGGATATGTATTAGTTGTATTACTAAATTCTATCACGGTCAAATAAAAATGAGATCGAGAAAATCTCCCCGTAACTAAATAAACCGTATCAAACTATCTGGAACACTAGCCTGAACTCTTCTCCACGGTAATACTTTTGTTCGATCAGTTAGTCTACTAATGCAAATGTAATTGGAAATCAACTCATAAGAACAGCTTACTGGCATAAACGTTATTTGATTTAATAATTTAAGGTGTACCTATGGGTAGCCCTTTCGGGCCTCTCTTAGCTGACGTTTTTACGTCATATGTGAAAAATATGACGAGTGAGCTTATTAGTGAGGCAACTCTATATAGA